ATAAGATAATTATTCCGACGAGAGAGAGAGAGAGAGAGAGAATCAATAAATTATATAATATCAAAATATTAATATAGAGCGTATAATTTGTAATATAAATAAAATAGCATAAATATTTATGTTGCAATATATTATAATAGAATTTTTATACAGAAACACACGTATATTCAAATATTACAAAAGTAAACATTTTTTCGCAATATTTTATAACAAAATAAGTGCTAAAGTTACTTGATATTTGCAAACTGTTTACATATATTTACAAATATATTTACAATAATTGTTGTTGAATGTTAAATAAATAAGTTGATATTTTTGTAATAGCCATTATTACTTAATAAAATCTTTTTATTTGTGTACTCGACTTTGTTTGCAATTCCATCAAGGTGTATGTTTATAGAGAAATATTTCGCAACACAATTTATTTTAATGTAAATTATATTTTGCATCAAGGCAATATTAGTAATTAACAACAATGAGAGGAAACACATTTACGATTGCTACGGCACATGTAATTCAAATTTAGCAATTTAAATTATTTATAAATTTGCATAAATATCTGTTTAATTAAATGAAATCACCTTGTTGTGCTGGCAAACAGATACCACCGTTTACATACTTGCATGAAGTGAACTCATCCTGGCTTATGGACAGAGGCATTGAATACCAATTCCTTCATCTAATGAGTGGTTATTTCAATTTCACGTATCGTCTCATTAGATGTTATGCAATGGGCGCTAAACAGGCAAACAATACCTGGACTGGCCTTTTGGGACTCATTAACCAAACGGTATTTTATGTTTCATGTTATTTAGATTAACAATTAATTGTCACTAAAATTATGTTTATGTATAGATGGCTGACATAGCGTTGGGCGGTATATCCCTAACCGATGAGCGGTCAGATGCGGCCCATTTCTCGCAGCCACACATCCAAACGGGCGTCACATTTATTACCCGTCGGCCAAAAGCTAAACTAATCCTAACACTTATCGCAAAACCTTTTGATATCTATACCTGGATTTGTATTATAAATGCATTCATTATTTTCATTGTTGTAATATATTTATTAAAGTGTATCGATAGTGACGTGAGAGACAATTTTATGGACATGAAGTGGTTAGTGGTTAATACGGCTCTCCGTCAACAATGTCCTGTATGTATACCACACAGACTGCGGCTACTGATGGTGTTTTGGCTATTGGCTACTCTTGTACTCACATCCAGTTATAGCGGATGTTTGTACTCATTGATGGCTTTTCCCACCCGTACGAAGACTATCAATACGGTGGAAGAGTTGGCCACCGCTCAATCACAGCATACAATACAAGTAATGGCCACAAAGAATGGCGCATATTATAATATGATTATGGTAAGACAATGGGATTAATTCATTATCGATTAACTGTTTTGCATAGAAATCTAATACAGGGGTTGGGATGGAGTTGAAAAAGGGGTTGAAAGGTGTGTCCAATACTATTGCGGGCATTAATATGATTTCGAAAAGCGACAAACAATTGGCCATTATATCGTTTCGTGAGGCACTCATATACAACATGTATAAGTCGTGCGCCACTCGGCTTCATATACCGCCCGACACCGACGAGTCTACACTATTCATGGATCTGTTAACAGTTGGCCTTCGCAAAGACTTTCCATATAAAAATGAAATTAATAAATTGTAAGCATTTAAGAATTAGTAATAAATTATTACTAATAATTTTATAATTATTTTCTGTTGAAAAGCATATCAGGTGTGAAAAAGTCTGGACTCATGGACTTTTGGAAAGTGAGCGAAATGCGAAGAATGTCGGTTGAATTTAAGGCAATAAATGAGTTGGCGATTTACCAT